GGCCTGCTAGCGTCGAGTTCCTGGAACGTCATCGTCGCCACGGCCGTGATTGGCACCTATGGAAAGTGCGGCAGTATCGACAAGGCGCTGGAAGTTTTCGAGAGAACTCCCAGGGAGTCGAGAGACGTCGTAGCATGGAACTCGATCATCACAGTCTTCGTGGAGCAAAACAAGCCGGAGCTCGCACTCAAACTCTTCCGGGAGATGCAGCTGGAAGGCGAGGAGCCGACGAGAATCACGCTCTTGAAAGTCTTAGCAGCCGCCACAGGGTCAAAAGATCTCGGCGTTGGTCGTTTGATCCACCGCGAAGCTCGGCTTCGATCGATGGACAGAGACTTGGTCGTAGGCACGGCGCTGGCGAGCATGTATAGCAAACTTGGCCGAGCGGAGGAGCTCTTGGAGGTGATGGAGAGGATCGAGCAAGGCGGCCGCGACTTGGTGTGCTGGAACATGATAATCTCGGCGCTCGTCCAGCATTCTCGGAGCAAAGAAGCACTGGCCTACTTCCGGGAGATGAATCTCCAAGGAGTAAAACCCGACCGAGTGACGCTCGCTCCACTCATCAGCAGCGCCACCTTTCCAGAGAACGAATCCAAGGTGATCCTTTGCGAGATCTCGCGGAGTGGACTCTCGAGCAACGCTGGTATCAGCAACGCCATCTTAAACTTCCATGCGAAGGGCCACAGGATCGAAGAGGCGAGGAGAGTCTTCGATGGAATCCAAGAGCGAGACCTCGTGTCGTGGAATTCGATGATCTCGGCCTACGCCGCAGAGGGATTCGCGAGAGAGGCCGTGATCCTCTTCCACCGGATGAAACAAGAGGGATTCCAGCCGAGTAGCGTGACTTCCACCGTGATCTTCGCTGCTTTCTCGGAGCTCCACGGCTTGGAAGAAGCTTGCCGGGTCGTGACAGTCGAGGAGAACTTGGAGCCAGCGTCGCTGTGGAGCCTCCTGATCTCTTCGTGCACGCAGCAGGGTCGATCCAAGCAAGCGCTGGAAATCTTTCGAGCCATGCAGCTCCAAGGGATGCGAGTGGACAGGGAAACGCTCGTTCCAGTCATCGTCTCTTGTGGAGCTTGCTCGGCTCTGCGAGAAGGCCGCTTGATCCACCAAGAACTCCAAAGATCAGCTCCAACGATCCAAGAGGACACTCGGCTCAAGAACGCGATGATCGACATGTATGGACGTAGCGGCAAGCTCCTCGACGTTGCCCACCAGATTTTCACCGAGATCAAGCAGCCGAGCGTCATCTCCTGGACGGCGATCGTCGCGGCCTACGCCCAGAATGGCCGCGTCGAAGAAGCCACTCTCCTCTTCCATCTCATGAAACTAGACGGCTCCTCGCCCGACACGCTCACCTTCACCACGATCCTGTCGCTGTATAGCCATGCCGGGCTCCTGGAAGATGGCTGCCACTGCTTTGGATCGATCTCCCGGGACCATTTCCTGGCACCAGCCCCGCAGCACTACAACTGCGTGATCGATCTCCTGGGCCGCGCCGGGCGGATCGAGGACGCCGAGGGTTTCGTCCGGGGAATGCCGTGCGCCACATCGGCGCCCGCCTGGACGGCATTGCTGAGCGCATGTAAAACCCAGGGAGATGTCGATCGAGGGAAGCGAATCGACGGCGTACATCGGCCTGATCTCTAGCGAAGAACCCTAAAGTTAAACATCCTTGTTAATGATAGCTTTACTTTTGGAATAAAAAATATAGCTCATTTAGAAAAAGTATTAGAGATTAATTAGTTCTGTATATTTGTCCAATTCGCTCAGGAAGAACTTGCTGTGCGGCATGAGAAGGCTATGCATTGTTACTCAGACTCACGGAAAAACCGGGACCGAGCTTGAGAGCTTGCGTCTCCTCCCGGCTTGCTGTAGGCAGCTATGGGATCCCGGATTAACGCTTGGCCTAGAACAATCTGGAGTGATTGGGACCATGGATCAAAGACGAACAAAAGGTTCTATAGATGAAAGAGCTAATCGGGGCAGCCATTTTGATGCACGGCCGCATTCTTTTTCCGAAGCGTTTGAATGATGATAGAAGCATTTTCTCATGATTTTCACTTGTCTACAATTCTAGGCAGTGACAATTCGGCCTCCATATTTGGGGTTGGTTCAAGCCGTGGGCATCGTCGAAAGCTTTGAGAAGCCGTTTCCAGCCAACATATACGCTTTCCACCGTCAAGGCGAGGAGATCCGTTGGTGGAAACAAGTGAGTGATGGCTGTTTCTTTGCTGAACCGGAATTCCAGATCGCCATTGTCAGAGACAACTTGCTCGAAGGACTGCTCGCCCCTTGCCCTCTCAAAACACTCACGGTAGTCATCCATATCCACAAACGGTGGCTCTTCCTTCATGCTTTCCACAAAAAATACGAGTGGAACTGGTAGAACGCCTTGGAGCAACCTGGCGAGCAGGATGGGTTCAACTCGGCCTTTCCCATCGCAGAATGGGTGGATGCTCTCGAATTTGAAGAAAAAGGATATGCCGAGCTTGATCCATCCCTCCGTTCTTTCCACAAGCTCGCTGATGGCACAAACTCGCTGGATTTCAGCATTCGTATCTCGGATGAGCTCTTCTAGAGCGCTTGCCACTTCAGTCGGCCGCATGTACACGCTGGTGACGACTACCTCCTTCCCCTCCCTGCTGTGGGAAGCTCTGAGCCCAATATGGTCTTGTGCAGCTCTAGTATTCCAGTGACAGTCTTTCTCGAGCTGAAACAGGTCCTTGCTTATCTCACCGGACCCAATTGCCGACTTAAACGACCTAAACGAGTGAAAATCTTTAACGTCGTAGAGGAAAAGGAGACTGCCTTCCCTCGCATAAGTGTTGAAGAGCCACTCTTTTATCGCACTGACCTCTCCGGTACTGTCCAGCGCGCCCGCCGCCATCGCCCCTTTGGTCGCCTCAAGCGAATCAAGGCCCTCGCCCCGGGCGTAGGCGCAGAGCCGAGCGTACCTTCTCATGGATTCATGGATGCCTTTGAGCATCTGGCTGGTCTGCGGGACCGGTTCTTCTACAAGCTCAGCGGATGGTCTTAGAATATTTTAGTGTTCATTTTCATAAAAGAATTCCTTTAGGATATTCCTCAATTTAACAGTTCTAGCTCAAAAAAGTTTATCTAGGTTTTATGTCCTAGGATATTCTTGTTTACTTTCTTAAACTCAAAAAATCTGTTTAAATATTGAGAAATGTGATATATGTAACAACTATATATTTTTGTTTGCTTAAGCAATACATAAAATATACTTGGATATTCTAGAATATTTTACTATTTAACAGTTGGGTGTGTGTGTGTATATATATACATGTGTATATATATATATATATATATATATATATATATATATATATATATATATATATGTATATGTATATATGTATGTATACATGTGTATATATATATATGTATATGTATATATGTATGTATGTGTATATATAGTGCACAATAAAGCTTTTCTTCATCCACACATAAGAAGAAAATCTGCATCTTTCCTAAAGGTTTTGAAATGTTCAGCTGTACAACAGCTACTCTTTTCTTTACTCTTTTTGTATCACAACACCCCTTTAAAAGAAACACACTGAAGAATATCTATCTTCCTACTGTGTAAATATTTAGTTTCTTCATGTTGATCAGTGGGATGGAACTGGTTTTGTTTTCTCATTTATTTTTGTGTTCATTTGTTTCCTGCTCAGTTTAACTGATCATTTTCTCTTAATTAAGTATAAATCAATCTTAAACTTTACATGCCATGGACTAAAGAAAGCAGATTGAACATATAGACAGTGAAGGACAAGCTCATCCCAGTGAGAGGAAGAAAGACAGTGTGAAGGAGATATTCTACTCTTAGATCAATTGTAAAGTAGGCTTGAATCCCAAAGAAGAGGAAATTAATTGGCACACATGCGATTGCAAGTCTGACTTATAACAAAAAATAATACATTAGTTTGTAAAATTCATGCAAATGCAAAGCTTCTTGAAGAGGAGCCATGTCTTTATCAAAACAAGGTCCACTTTTTTTGTGAGTAGGTTGGTAATAGATATATTTAGAATATGCTTGGATATTTTAAAATATAATCTATCTCTTTATATTCCAATCTAAATCCTGGATTATTAGTTAATGTGGAGTTTTTGCACTCATATTTTTCAGCACACAAAATCCTCCTGGTTACTTGCAATTAGATCTCCACTATTTTCTATTTGCTTTTGTGAATTTGCTAGCGAGGACATCATAGCAAATTCTATTCCATGTTTTGACTACATACAATTTTGATTAACAATCCTCCTAGTGTTTGTACTTGCTTGCTATTGCTCTAAGGCACTAGTTCTTGAAAGCACAAAGGTCTATATTTTATAGTAAAGTCATATTAAGTTCATAATATTTTCTGATTACATCCTCCAAGTCCAAACGTGACACAATTCTTCCGTGGGTTACAAGAGTCACAGCAGCAACTCCAGGTGGATCCACATTTTCCAGCGCTATTTGGCACGCAGCAACAAAACTTCCGGCCATACCGACCTTGGCAATGCCTATCAAAGTTTTTACATCTTCCCAATGTGGGTTGTGGCTGTGGTGAAGGTGGTGGTGGAGACGGAGGTGGTGGCGGTGATGGTGTTGATGGTGGTGGAGGAGATGGACGTGGTGGTGGTGATGGTGGCGGAGGAGATGGAGGTGGTGGGGATGGTGGTGGTGGTGGTGGCCGAGGAGATGGAGGTGGTGGGGATGGTAATGGTGATGGGGGTGGAAGAGCAGGAGATGCTTCACAATAGCCCAAGGGATTGCACCCTTGAGTTGATGATATGCAACATGTGTCCTTATTACATGCACGGTCCACACAACAACAACTACTACCAGCTGGGCACCATTGATAGCCTTTGCAGGGTCTTGGGGGTGGTGGTGGCGGAAGAGATGGAGGTGGTGGGGATGGCAGTGGTGGTGGAAGAGATGGAGGTGGTGGGGATGGTGGTGGTGGAGAGGGTGGTGGTGGTGGTGGTGGAGAAGGAGGTGGTGATGGTGTTGGACAGTCACAAGGATCTTGGAAATAGACGCCAATTCCTCGGAAGTATGTTGTTGAAGAGGCATAACCAAAAAATCCAACCACTGTCCCTTCTGGGGAATCAAATTTAGTCTGATTGGAGTAGTCGTGGGTACCAAATGGGCCAAAGGTAGTTTGGGCATTGGTCCTTCTATCGTTGACGTGCAAGTAAAGCCTACTCAAGCCATTAGAAGTCCATGGATTTGGTCCAGTGCGCCCTGAAATCTTGTAGATGTATTCATCCGGATAAGCTAAAACCACCTGAAAGAAATCTTAGTAGAAGATGAGCATTACAAATAGCTACCTCTTTGGCTTCCCCCCTTGAAGTGCCATGAGGATCAGACCAAACATGTTCTCCCCCTTGATCTGATTGAACCTGTATCCCATCCACAATATACTCAGACCAGATCTTGACTCTCACAATACCCTGAGACTGCCCGTCACTGAAACTTTTCCCATCGGTTCCACCATACAATGGGGATCTTTTTCCGTTTGCACCAAAAACCTTCATCATAATGAAACAATTCAATCATTGCCCAAAATGCATCGGAAGAACAATACCAAGACAAAGAAAAGTAAGTAGCCATTTAGCCATTGCTAAATGAGGTAAATTAATCCCCATGCTCCTCAGTCTGGTGTACGCGGATTTATATTGCAATGTGAAAGAAAATTATCTTATATTCAAATGCCAACCATTTAAATAGTAAAACATCTAACGTTAGATGAAAAAAATGTGAATAGACAGAATCTTGTAAGGATTTTTTTGGAGAAGTTTTGATATATGAATCCTAATTGTAAACCACGTGCTCTACAACATTTAACTCTAATCTAGATTTTAAAAATGAAGTGGTGTACATGCTTACATTACAATGCATATGGAAATGGGCTCTTATTCATACTTATTAACCTCGATATGGTGTGTGTCAATCCCAGCTCAGACAGCAGCCTACATCTACACGATTTAATAGTGGATTTAATAGTTTAAAATGTAAGAGTATGAGAAACACAGTGGATGCCTATTAACATATATAGCTTGTTTAATGCTAGCCTAGATTCGTCGTGAGAAACGCGCAAATGTAAGATAATCTCTTATATTTTGTTTAAGTAGAAGTGTCTTTTTCTCCACTGCAAACATGTGATTAGAAATTGTGTCAACCTCCGAAAAGACAGCCTAATTGTAAACCACGTGAAGTATGAAGTATAAAAGGTAAGAGCGAGAGAAGCATGCCTCCATTAAAATAAATATATCATGAAAATGACGTGGGTGGTACAAATGGGAAGAACTTTTTGTGTAGGTCGGACAACAATCAAAATGACATATTTTTCTCCATTGCAACTCTCCCTTCTTCTTTTCTTCACAATGTCGTTGATCTGGATCCAGGTACTGATCAGTGCACCCGCTAACATGCAAACTTGGGCCCCAAGTTCAATTTACAGGCATTGTCTCAAGAGGCGAGCTTCAGCAATTCAGTCGACTGGAGGGAATCTGGAGCTGTTTCTAGAGTCTGGGATGTGGATCTTCGCAAAAGCTGCAAAGGTTTTGTTTGTCACTCACTTGATAAGAAAATATCTTACTCACAAGTTTTGCAGGTGGGTCATGGGCATTTGCAGCAGCAGGTGCAGTGGAGAGCCTCAAAGCGATACAAACCGGAAGGATGGTGGTGCTCTCACCACAGCAACTGATTGATTGCAACGAATACAACAGCGGATGCAATGAGAAGGGTACTGCAGATCCTTACCATGCCCTCAACTACATTCGCCTGCGTGGGATTACTACTGACTCAAAGTACCCGTACACGGGTGTTAAAAGTTCCTGCAAGCCATTCGTATGTCATGATGTTGTTTTAAGTTGCACTGACCATCAGCGATTGGAACTTATCCTTACAGACTAAGGATGCTTCCATGTCTCAAATCGGAAGTGTGCCGGGAACAAGTGATAGTTTCTTGGTAGAGGCCGTGTCAAAGCAGCCGGTGATTGCTCGAATTGATGGTAGTGCTTCTGAATTTGATTCATATGCTGGAGTAAGTTACGTCTCCTGGAGGTGGGCATTTGATAGCAAACTCTTTGCGTGTGTGCAGGGCATATATTCAGGCCCCTGCTCTGATTCGAAGGCCAGCCTTTCTGTACTCATAGTCGGCTATGGACGGACACAACATGGGGTCGAGTATTGGATTCTCAAAAACTGGTGGGGTAGGAGCTGGGGAGAAGGAGGTTACATGAGACTGGAGCGTGGGAAATGCAATATCCTATCGGACATATCGTTCCCTCGTGATCCCCCGAAATTCAGCAGTATTTAAATCAGTGATTTAAGTAATGTAACTTTCTTAAGAAAACAATGCTTTACGTCAACCCGGCTCAAGCCTTCGTCCAGCAGCTTTAGTATGCAATGCAGCATCTAAAAATCCTTGTTATAATCAAGAACTAGCAAATTCATATTTCAGCACTCGAAGTACTACAGTTCTGGCATTATGTAAATCTTGAGCTCTGCTGATCAATTAGTACAACTAACAATGCCTTGGCTCATCTGAATATAACTCAAACTGTTAATCCATTGTGGTGCCATGAAAACGGATACCCCAGACAGTTGTAAGAAAGTCAAGCAGATTATAAAAGGCAACATTTGTGTCCTGTCACGAAAGGTAACTTTATTCGTAGCAAATTTATAGTTTTCCAGCGTAAGTCGCACTCCATTTTACAAACCAAATATTGATCGACAATATAAAATCCTGCAAGCAAGATCACACATTACAGTTCAAAGTTGAGAGGATGAAAGTATTGATTTGTGAGCTTGACAAAGTACTCCCACACTTTCCTGCATTGCAAACAAACACTCCCACATTCCTTCCTTCCTTTGGAATGCTCCAGAATAATCTCTGCACAAATCACCGCTTATAGGCTTAATTTCTCTAATTCACTTGAATCTTCGAACACTTTCCATACTGAATGCTGGTTGGCTTGAGGCCAAATTCAGCTGAAATGGAACCCACATATGGCACATCTACAAGGTGCAAGTCTTTTCCTTTCCACCAGTTCCAAGCGAGAATCAGTGTTCCAGCAAAGAACACAACTCCAGCAACTTATTCCATGAGCGAGATGAAACCCCTCCCTGCTCTGGAGAAAGCTTTGTAAGTGTTGTGGTCTTGTGGAAAGATGTAATAGCAATGGATAAGTCCCACAAGAAGCATATAACTGAAGAAAGACACCAAGATCATTGCACCGAGTTCTCAAGATTCCTCTAATTTGCTTCTTGATCTTACTGATGGCTCGTATTGATGATGCTATTGTTTCTTCCAGCAAACAGAGATCATTATAGTATCAAATTCTTGTTGGAAATGCTCGAGTCTGAAATTAAGTCCAAAATTGAGTCTAAATACTAATACAGGTCATAGAGTGAAAATTTAAATCAAAAGGAGTTCCAAAAGTATAGTATGGATAGTGAGGCTAAAATTTTAGTCTTGAAGGAATTCTCCAGTTAGGGTTGGGACTATAGATTAATAGAGCATGGATTTAAGGAGTGCTAGGGAAACTTCTCAAGGAAGTGCTCATAAAAAGCCCTAAACCCCATTTTGAGAATGACCACTTGCAACTTAAGTGAAGTGGTGCCCCATTTAAGTACCATAAGGCTTATTGGTCTTTGCCCCTTCCTACAAAGGTGGGGAGTTAAAATACTGGTACCAAATTAAAAAATGAACCTAGGGTTTGGGATTTATAGGGTCTTATAAACAAGTTTTGCTATACCATTGGATATTAAGAATTTGGAGGTTTAGTGTGTTTAGTTGCTTATGCTTTGTGGGTGTAGTACAACCTTAAGTTCAATCTAACCTAAGAAAGGGAATTAGCAAAAAGTTTATGAATTTAGCACATAGCACTTGTATGTGAATCCATGAAATGTTTACTTTTGTAGTAAGTAGCTAAACTGAATATGACTAAGCCAGAGTTAGTATAATAAGTGTGAATCTTGGGAAAGAAACCTAACTAAAGCCAAGGCAAAGATGGTTGGATAGACGAGGGAAGTTGGGAAAATAGGAAAAAAATTTATATATTACGGAAAAATAGTGACATTACTTGCTACCTTTGCAATTCATGCTCTAAAGAGATCACTACAATATCAAGTTCTTGTTGGAGCAACCACAACTGAATAAAAAACAAAGAAGGTGGATAGAGAAACTCCAAGTGCTCAACTTCACTATTGAATTCAAGCCAAGGAAGAAGAATACCTTGCTAGATGCATTATTTAGAATGTTTGAGAGTCAGCCTCACAAGTCTCAATGGGAGCATAGACGAACACCAAACTTCTTGGCTAGAGTGGCAGAGGGGTACATAATGACATGGTGCTCAGGCTCAACTCTCATAATCCATTGATTAGTCACATCCTGAATTGCTATTCAAGGATGGCCAAACCTAAAGGTTCAAAATATCCACCATCATTTGGTTAGCTTGTTTGGAAGCAGCAAGTTTTCTATTGAGCAATTGCCATAAACTTTATTGAATTGCTAGAGAATGATCACATTCAACTTGCTGTAGCTATTGCAAGAGTGGTTTCCCAGTAAGAGGGGTTACAATGGATAAAGTGTGCTTCATAATGACCATTTTACTTGATTTCATTATATCTAATTGAATTATAAATCTATCATTTGGTAAGTTGATTGATCAATTCATTAGTTTATTAGTCAATTCATGATTTATTGAATTCACGAGTTGATTGATCATTTCATGAGTTGGTTGCATTGGTTGATGAGTTGATGATTGATGAACTAAGAAAATTGGAATATTGTGAATATTTACAATTAATAATGAAAAATATTATGCTTGCATTGAACAATTGAATATTGATAATATTTCTCTACAAATTTGCCAAGCCACTAGCCTATTTTTTGGTTGATAGATTACTTTGCATAATAGTTATAACTTTGTGAGTTTGCTTTTACCATTTTTCATTATCAACAAGAGCACCATATTAGTTTAGTGCCATTTGTAAGCCTCATCATTTAAGTAATTATTTGAGTTGCATAGTTTTGTAGCATTAAAAATGCCTATATCCTTGCCTATTCTAGCCAACAATTAATATATAGTTTCTAAACACACTCTTTACTCAAATCTATGTAAGAGCTCATCTCTTGTGCTCTCTAGAATAAAAATATAATTCAAGATGCTGTAGAGTATAGATTTTCTAAATATTCCCTCTAGAGAATATTCCTAGAACATGATAGTATATTTTACATGGGGTATACTTTTCTTCCCTTGCAAGTTTAGGGCATGAGTGATTAACGATGTATTGCTATAAAGGAGTTTTTGGGTTAATTGAGAGTGTGTTTGTGAGTGAAATGGTGTGTAACATATGCATTAGTATAGAAATCATGGTGGGATAAGTCAATCCTAGCTAACCCATCTAATTTCCATATGTTTTTTTTTAAGTCTTAAAAGTTATAACGAATTTTAGCACAATTCTAATTCTCAATGAGATTCATTGCCATTATCGCAAATTTTTTAGTTTTTTTAAGTTTTCTTTGGGTTTTAAGACTCATGGTTAAAAAAATTCATTTTTACATTTTATATATTTTGGCAAATTGAGTAGATAGGCTTGTATATCTCATCTTTCTATATCC